GAGCAACGAACATACATACACAATGGAAAAGGCTCATATACATATTTTTTTTGGTATAGTGTTATTGAAAAATATAAATATTTTTTATTGCCTAAATAAAACAGGCGGGTTATATTACTAAGGATCAGCACAAGCCCTGGCGAGGAATGTTAAACGCGTCCTGAGATGAACAAATTGGTCAATTTTCCTAATCATGCAAACATTTCATGTCTGGGGTTGAATGAATCATGTAATAACTAACATCACTGGATAGTGGGCGGTCAACAAATATGGACATGAACCGAGAAGTACGATGAAGCAAAGTAAGCGGTCACTTTTATAAAAAACGAAATAATCAATGATCATTGACATCTATACAAGATCTCTAGTTTCTGTAAATTAATTATGTTATTTTCGGTAGAATACATGATACGTACTGTAAAGTGTTTAAAGAAGGTTGTCTTCATTGAAAAACCTACATCAATGATTTGGCAAGAGTATCTATTCAGTATTCAGACCTCCAGTATCCAAAATATAAGTCGCCTTAAGGGTCAGTAATATTCGTAAGACGATGGCACCTTAAGACAAAGAATATTACGGTACTAGCCGTAAACGGTATTTGAATGGAAACACGAACAACTTAGCAAAATCCATGACAAAAGTACCTTTATGAAGTATTAAGCTTTTTAGAGACCTATCCGTAGAGCTACAAGTTTTTGACGAATGACTTCTAAGTATTTAATTCAATTCAATTTCCTTGTTAATGGCTTCAAAGCGTGCCAGTTGAGCATAGATTACGTCGCCAATGTCACGTAGAATGGATAAGACACGAAGGAGAGACTTCTATCTAATAACATATCTTTAAAAACTGCAAAGTAATTTTAATTTTTTATATAGCTATGTGTATACGAATACATTGGAAGACAAAATTTGTCTAATAGCAGAACTGCGTCATGTTTATAAACGGAATAATATTAACATCTATGTACCATGGTGTCCGACCTTGGTTTTTAACGACAGCTCAATGACAATACTAACAAATGGCGAGCCGTATGCGCTAGGTTACAGCTGTAAGGATAATTGATTTGCTAATGATAACATAATAGTCTAAGGCAGTAATTTACTTTTATTGGCGTCGCTCTTACGACAATATGAACGTTTTAAAAGACATCCGCGTTTTGTTACAGGTCTTCACATATTACTGTATATTTCAAAAGTTACATGATATTATAAAAACTAAAACCAAAAAAATAGATAGGTTTTATTGAAAGTAACTAACATAAAAAACTTTGAGTTCAACACACTCACTTTGAACTGAAATAAAGTTAATGGCAGGAAGAGGAAACGGCCATTATTTAAATGTTGTCATTCATTATCTACAATAATACGAATTTATAGGTGAAACATCGTAACTAAATCAAATGTACACTTTTTATTGTTGCATTTCGTTGCTATATTACTCACATATCAGAGGTCGAATATCTCCCACGAACCATTTTAAAGGCATCCACGAAATGAACTAGTTTCCAAGCACACGTCAACTATATCACTATTTAACCAAGTGTTTAGATAAAAAACGTTTATTTACACATCTTTATAATTTATGACATTAACAATTGTTGTGTGAATCTCTGTACAAACTTGGCTTATTGCTGTAAAACCGTGTTTCAATTCATCACATCGCATTTTATAAATAAAAATCCTCATAAAACTACAGGCGTCCGACATGAAACTCCAAAGTTCAACACAAAAACCTCACTGGTAGTCGATTTATAGAGGTGGATCGTGCGTGTATTTATTAGACGAGATTATTTTTCGCGGGTTAATTTCGTTCGAGTGCGTTCGCGTTTGGTTCGTCTTTGTTAGGGCGCGTTCGCAAGACCGCGTGTCGACGCATGCGCAGTTCGCGCGGGCGTGCTAACGTCACCGCGCCCGAGAACAAAGTGATAACAATTGATACAACGCACCTCCGCGGGGCATCAACGGAAATCGCGTAAACTATCTCTCAAGATTTCTGCTACCGTTGGAAACCAGCCAACGGCGTTGATATAGATGGTCCTTCGCTTGTGTACCGTCTGCATTTTTCTTATCTTCTGATTCAAATACGTTATGATCACTGAGTTCTCTTTGTAGATACTCTCAATGTGCCTTTCCCCCTTTTTCATAATATACTAGCGACTTACCCTCGCTTCGCTCAGTTCGCTACGTTTTGACGCTTAGTATGCAGTAGATTTTTTTCAATATTTTTTGTGGTGAATTTTTCCGATGTTTTAATAGTTATTCTATCGGTGAAGACAAACCCAACAAAACAAAGATCATAAAAATCGGTCCAGCAGTTCTCGTTATAACTAACCCGACTTTGTTTTATATGTATATGTATGTCTATAGACTTATATTACAATTATTCGTAACATATTGTGTTCAATTTTGACATCAAAAATGAAATTAAAATATTATAAAGACAAGGTTGTCAAACCCTATTTATGGCTTTATGGAACATGGATTCGCAATAATCTGTCTACCTAATTAAGGAACTTCCACTTGTCTAAAAATAATTACATCATAAGCGATTTATTTGTTTTCAGTATCTACTACGGTGTGCTTATATATTCTAGGGTTATGTACTAAATAGATCGTGGCCAACTTTCTCTTCCATTTATTACAACAAATCAAGTAATAATATTAGGGCCTAATGTAATAATATAATTAATTATAATCACATTAAAGCCTACAGATGTAGAGACATAGATTATAATGTTGCCAAAGGAATTCGTTATTATATTAACTTTCTCTCTACTCAAACAAGTATATGAATGAACCAGCAGTACCCGCAGCTTCGCCCGCGTTTAAACTTCCCATATAAACATTTAGTTTTACAATGAAAGTCTGCCCGATTGGTTGACATTTACGATGACTGCTCCGCTCCCTTGAGTAGTAGCATGATGATAAAAAGCTTATAGCCTTCCTCAATATACGGGCTATCTAATACAAAAAGAATTTTTCAAATCGGATTAGTAGTTCTTGAGATTAGCACAAAGTTCAAACAAACAAACTCTTTATAATATTTAGTATAGATTAACATAGTACTTGAGGATAATCAATCTGAATTGTACAGAGATGCTTGCATTGGATAAAAAAAGATTTCCATAAGATGTTATACAAAATTCCATTACCTTGTGAAAAGTACTTGATGTGACTCATATGAATGACCAAACAACATGATTTAATACTAGTTTGTGGCCGCGGCCCCACTGATAGGTGTGGGAAACAATAGCCTATATGTCAATCCAAAATCTAATAGGTAGTATATAAAACAAAGTCGGGTTTGTTAAAACACTTATAACTCGAGAACTGCTGGACCGATTTGTATGATCTTTGTTTTGTTGGATTTGTCTTAACACCGAATACCAGAATAAGTATTAAAACATCGGAAAAATTCACGAAAAAAATATTGAAAAAAAAAACTATTCCATACTAACCGTCAAAACGTACCTAGGGAACCTGAGCGAAGTGAGGGTGAGTCCCTAGTATTTAAATATCTGCATTTCCTATTTGATTCAAATCGATCGACATAGATTGCATTTAATTGAAATAAGATTTGATGGTGCGTAAAGAAATAATAAACACACTCAATTTTGGTTTTTTTTTATTTAGTGTGATTTAACTTTTTGTGATTTCAGCCCTTAACTATTTCTATAATGTACATGGTCGTATAGTAGTCGCAGTATTCAATAAAACAGAATAGGTAATTATCTTTTTACGTCGCGTCGTTTACTTATGAAAAGTACCTATAGATTTTTCTAGTACATATATGCATATGGTTATTTTTATGTATAGAAATAAGTACCAATGAAGTGGACAAATCTTTTCGCTTATACTATTATTCTATAGCTTTATCTATACTAATATTATAAATAGAAAAAAATGTATTTTCTATTTGTAATGGACAAACTAAAAATCCACTTATTCAATTTAGATGAAATTTGGTATAAAGATTGCTTGAGACCCTGGGAAGGACTTAGGATAGTTTTTATCCCGGAAATCATTCATCATCAAGAGTTTATGGGGGGTAAAAAGCGGGATGAAAGTTTATATGGCGAATCAATCATTTCTCAAGTGAGGGATATAAAACTCATCATACCTATGTATACTTAGGTATATATACTAACTAGCATTGCCCGCGGCTCCGCCCGCGTTCAGATATGCAAAAACCAAATTCTTAGGTTTTACATATTACTCTTACAATGCAGTTTTTGTATTTTTTCTCAGAAATGAAATATTATCCCGCGGTAAAAAGTATCCTATATGTTGACCCGGATAACAGCTATCACCATACCAATTTTCATCAAAATCTGTCCAGTGGTTTTTCTGTGATGCGGTAACAGACAGACAGACAGACAAAAATTCTAAAAACTATAGATTCGGCCTCTGTAATACTGTTTCGATAATAATGCCTATTTCAATAAGAATTTCCAAAAAATATTTAATGTACAGATTCGACTTAGTTACAATTTCATTATATGTATGGTCTATCTATTCCATACTAACCGTTGAAACGGAATGAACAAGAGCGAAACGAGAGTGAGTCGCAAGTAGCTTATAATTAAGTTCTATATTTCTCTAGGCACAAATCCGTCACGGAAAACTACACATATAAAATTGACTGATATATTGACTAGTAAGCCAAAATAATGGGCAGTTACTCTATTGAATGGATATATATAAATGTCAGTAGCAATGTTAGAGTTACTCATCTCAGTGTATTTTATAAAAGCTTTGATGGAATTTTTCTAAGAGCATATCATTTATAAACAATTTTGTAAACAAATAAAATTTATCTTATGAATGTTCTTTACATTCTATTGTGGTGTGTGCCATATGGTGTAAATTTATTTCTGGTAGGCACACACGGAATCTGTACACTCGTAAATATATTGTCTTGTGCTAGGGAACCCAAGATACATGAGTCCGATTCGCACTTCACCATTGAACTTCGCCGTAGACTAAAAAAAACAACTCACCTATTATGCTGGTCAGCGGGCTTGGCCATGGTGAACTCCTTGGCGTGCACATTCAGCTTGTTGGTGGACGACGGCGTGGTCGGCGTGGTCGCACCCGTGGTCGCGGTGGTCGCCACGCCGTCTGTGCGGACACCTGGTGGTCAACGTTGGTCGTCAAGAGAAGAGATGATAGGAAAGGTTAGAATGGATATTAGCGATAACAAAGTGATCAAAGAACGTGAACTATGACTGAAATAACGGAAATGAGAAATAGCGTATAAGAAGTGCTGATAGTTTGAAGTGGAATGATGCAAATAGATATTTTAAAAACGTTGGCCTAAATATTGATTCAATTGAAATAAATAAAAAATGTAGGTTAGTCATTATTAGGTCGATTTCGGAAATTGAATGACATAATACAACGTATTGATGAATACAACTATCAAACGTAATATTTATGATCTTAATGTAACAATAAATAATACTAATGCAATAACTATTTATATAACTAAAGGTACTTTGTGTTATATTTTGTTTGGTTTCAGCAAATTGAAACCAGTTGGAAATGTCTAGATGAGACACGGCTTTAGAATTTTTCATTTCCTTTTTTTAGAATTTATATATTCTTTTCCGATGAATCATTAAAATTTTCATGTGTCAGCATAATATAGCAGATGATATACATTTATCTTATTTTAAATATTTGCTCTGTTCTAAAGCGAAACCTAAAAAGAACTCTTCTCAAACGTTTATAATACTTATTAAATATTTTTTGAATATAAATAATTAATAATAATATAATTAGAATATCTAATACTGTAAAGGTAATACAAAATTATACAGCAAATATGTATGTAAGAAATGAATATTTTCTTATTTTATATTAATTTTATAATTTTAGGAAGATCTTCGCGCTGACAACTTTATTTAACGTGCGTGACTCTCTTCGTCGCGGTCAAATGAGCAAACTTTCATCCAAGATTTACAGCTAGCCATTCTTTCTTAGCCTCGTTGTATCTAAATTCTAAAGTATACGTCGTTATCTAGATTTTTCTATTAAAATCTATATAGTATACTATGAAATATATATTTTTTGCAACTATCACAACAAAAAGTGATTGCAGATTTGACCTCTATCTTCAATTATAGCAACTATAAATCAATTGGTTTCAAGGATGTCATTTTTGAACCCATTTTACCGCGAAAGGTGTACTTTACATGCAAATTAACATATGCAACGATAGGCTTTGATGAATAAAATTATTTATTCAAAAAATCCACCTAATATGCATTTATTATTACTGTTTAACTTTGTTGTGATGCTATAATAACGTAAACAAACCTGAGGTTTCTGAAACAACTTGAGCAGTCGTCACCTCAGGGATTGATACAGGCACTACAGGAATAGGGGACACAGATACCGGTACTTGGGTCACTGAGGATGCCATTGGTTGTGCCACTGTTTGTTTCACTATACACCGTGACATTCCCTTATTATACTTATATTATTATAACACATCGATTCTAAACATATACGCGACACGTACACCGCAACAAACATAAGACTGTCGACCCGTTCCAAATATGATGTTTTGTTTATTTTTAATTTTGGCGCCAATTTAGCGTAGTGACGCTTGCCAGCCAGTGCTTCCCGAATCGAATTGATATCGGAAATAATTATTATCGATATTATTTATAATTTTATTTTACTTATTTATTTTAATAGCTCACCTGGAGGTCTATATATTTCGAGCGTCGGTTTGCCTTTAGCATTCGTCAGGATCATACTTCGCCGTTTCCCATTGTTCGGAAACTGTGAACATACGGAATTTTGTGAAAGAAAAATATTTTGTGATGCATACTTCATGTTTTTAGACGTCTTGATGGGCTGTCACGATTTATTTTCAGATTGTTATACATACATTGGTGACTGGAAAATATTTAATACTGACTAAATATCTAACATCATCGACAAATTTAAAACGAAATCCTTGAACAACGATGAATTCATCGTATTACGCTCAATTTCTGGTTACGATTATATTATGATCGTAAGCAACTAGCAGAGTGTTTACTATAAGAAACAAAGCGAGTTCTAGATCTTCGTAATATCAAAAGTCTATATTGAAGCACCGTTCATTCATTTACTTTTCAAATTAACTAGCATTTGCCTGCGACTCTCACCGCGTCGTTTTTTTATGTATAATCGCTCCTAAACCTGCTAGCGACGCACCCGAGCGAAATGATAACTGATAAGTCCTCAATAAATCGTCTAAAAATGCAAAAAATATTTTGCGTATGAGACCGTTAGTTCCGAATATCAGAAATTACCTCGCATAGTTTATTTCTTGTTCCCTAAAGATTGTAGCCCCCTAAGATTGATGTTACATTATTTATACCCTTCCATATTAAAGAGGTAATAAAATGCTTAAGGAATTTTTCAAATCGAACTGGTTCTTCCAAAGATTAACGCGTTCAAACTTCAAACAAACTCATCAGCTTTATATAATATTATGTAGTAGCTTTATATAATAATATACATATAAAAGAAAATAGTTTCAAAACAAATCATAGAATCAATTTTGTTTACTAAACACATGGTTATCCAAGTTGATTGCGTTGTTTGATAAGTATCTATAAAGGCCATCTAGTTTTACAAATCGCAAGTGGGAGTTAGATAGCGGATTGTGCAGTCTCCCACGCGTGGACTCGACATTGCCTTTACCTATTTTAAATATCTTTATTATGTATTGATATGTCAAGTATACTTTCATTTCTTGTTACCTACTTAATTATCAAATAGATACATTGACTAAGAATTAGTTTATACTTGTAGTTTATCAATTCTCTATCCAATTTGCCGCGAATATTACTTTAATAATACTACTTTTCTGGCATTTTCGCGGTTTTATTTTTATTTTTCTTTTTTTGTTCCAAAAGACTGAGGTTTGAGGGATTTAGATATTCGAAACATCAGAGTAAAAAAAACAAAATAAAAATAAAACAGGAAAAATATCAAAAATTAAAAAATATTTTTATTTATAATCATAAAATAAGTTTTAATTAAAATACTCAACTTCACAAATAGATATATGAATGAGTCAAAAAAGACAAAATACCTGGTTATGATGCATGTTATGATGAGACTGCGGCCGTATAAAGCTTCGCTCCCTCATGATGACGCCTGGTGTGGCAAAATTCTGCACCCGGTAGCTCCTCTGCAGGTCACCCCCCACTCCCATTTGAGCTTGCATTTTGCCAATTTTGTACAACACTATACACACTCAAAGAAACCCGCGATTTTATTTACGCGCCTTTATCACTGGACGGTTTTTGCTTCTTTGGCAATTCCTAAGTTTAATGTTTATTTATATTTCTTTCCCTAAGTTTTAGTTAGTAAGTTATAGTAAGTTAATTATATTCTCTATCGATAAATAGTTTGAATTTAAATAAATACACTAGATGAATGACTAGTAAAATAGTTACAACGTCAATATTATTTTGATTAATATTTTATTTAAAAAATGTAATATTAATAAAACAACTCCACTAGGGCAATATACAAATGCGAGTTATACAAGCTTATAAAGTATCACAATGTAGTATTGTGACGTCACGTTAGAGATCTGTACTGATTATATATGCATATATAATATCCTAAGACCCCCAGTCGTGGCCACGGAAAGGGGGTGTGGGTTCGAGAATGTTCGTTAGACGAATAGAGCGGTGCAGGAGTGGGCCTGACAGAGCGATTGCTAGTGTATCGAGGGGTTGAAATTAAGCACTTTGTCAACTCCTTTCTCGAATCGTTTCGTTGAGGGGTCACTTGAACCCCCTATCTGAAACAAACATACATTTATAAATGACTTATTGAATAATATCCGACTACTATAATTATATATATGGGAATTTTTTTATTGTGTATGTATGTATATTTGTTACTCCTTCAGGCTGAAACGAGTGAATGAATTTGGATTAAATTGAGTTTGAATTCAATTATACATAGTATATCTGTTTAGATAGACTATGAATGGCCTGTAACATATGTCTCTATCATAAACGTAGAGAATGAACTAAGCAATACTAATATTTGTCATAAAATTGACAAAGAGAGAAATGGCATTTTTTATATATTTAGCAGCATTAGCATATTATTGAAAATTATAATATTATAATGAAATGTAAAATGGTTATAAAAATCTATCTTTTTGATCGTATTTATATATTATACAGAGGCCGCACATTCGTTTTGTCTCTGTCGCGTTTTTCCGCTATTTTTAGTGACGGCTGGCAAAGAAACACTATAGACATATCTCTATGTCTATGGTCTCTACCATAGGTGCCTAATATCTTGCAAATGTTAATATGTAAATCACAGATCATTTAGTTAGGAATTCAGGAAGCACCCGAGTGAGGTAAAATAATAATGTTATACATACTGAGACTGAGAATTTAGATTGATTACATGCCGTTTGGTACTTGATATAATTCAGTGCCTTTAAGAACTTTTTAAATGACCTCTTAGTATTTTAAATAAAACTATCTTTTCGGATTTGATCGATTTTTATTTCCTGACTCCCGGACTCTCATCGGAGAGACTCTCCCGTGATCATGATTGCTGTAAAGCATTCGAAACGTCAGGAACAAAAATTCTAAATAAATTCGCAAACAAATCTGAAAAGATAGTTTTATTTCAAACTAGCGGCTCATCCTCGCTTCGCTCGGGTTTCTCGCTAGCTACGTTTTAAATAGATATAAATAGTTATTAGCCAACGTTAGCCATAACATTTTTTTTCGTTAATTTTTCTGATGCTTTAATAGTTATTATCCTATTCTATTGTTAATGAAAATGATTAAAAATCAAATATCATAAAAATTGGTCGAGCCGTTCCAGAATTTTGCGCTTATCAACATTCATTTTTATTTATATGAATGTCAAAAATTCGCCTAAATCTAAGAAAGTGTGACATCGTAATAGTGAATTTAAAATGTAAACTATGCCAATTATTAAGAAATCGTTGTCAGTAGCGCAAGTTATTTGTTAAAAAAATACAAGTTTATTTGCAAACGTAAACTTTTCATCACATCTCAAATGCCTATATTTTATACTTCAGTGAAAGGCATCTGAGTGCAGTAAATATTATTCATCAAATTATTTCTTACACGTCTTAATATGTATTTCTTTAGATTTTACATCCACAATATCTTATATAAATATGAAGAGATAAGCTTCTTCTTTTTGACCATTTTAATTATACGCTTTCATTTCGCTCTGGAATCCAGCTTCAAAGTATATGAAACATTAATTTCTAAAATTTAATTTACTTAACTATCAGAATTTTCAAAGACATCTTAAAATGAATTATCTAGTTTAAACTTCGAGAGATCCATATACATTTGTATATCCAATTGCTGACTAAAGTCTTAAATTAATCTAAAAATGTAATTGTAAAATTTAAATGTTGTTATGTTATTCATGAAGTTTTTCGTGTACATTTTTATATTCAGCCTGAAAGACCTTGATGTAAATGTAACGAAGTACGCATTTCAGACCGGTTTATGGATTTTCATTGTAAAAACTAGTAATATTGGATAAAAACGAAATTGACGGGTTATAGTTTACAAAAAACATGAAAAAAAAGTTGGTGAATCATATCTTTGTATTTTAATGTTTACTAACAGCTATATAAAGTTTTTCTCTGTTTCGTGCCGAAACAGAATGAAGAATAGGTAACCTATACATATACTAAAATTGTAACTAAGCCAAATCTGTACATTAAATATTTTTTGGAAAATCTTGTTGAAATAAACATTATTATCCTATAGATTAGATAGTTTTGAGGCCGAATCTATAGTTTTTCGATTATTTGTCTGAAACTATGAAAATTATGAAATTTGGTATAATGATAGCTATTTACCCGGGTCAACATATAGGTGAAACGTTTAACGTTAAACGTTTGTATAAAGTTTAAGTACAAACTTGTCATTAAGACGTTTCATATTTTCCATTTGCAGTCAATTGTAACAATTGTGTATTCAGTTAGACTTGCGGTACTAGCTCAGATCCTCGTGGTCTGCAGCCGCACGTTCTAGAACTAGACCAACGGACCAATTAAAAAGAGTTCTCTTTCATCTACCACTTCAATTTTACTAGTGTTTTTGACCATATTACTTACTTTTTCTTGAACTTCAAAAACTTCTAACTTGTACCTAGAACCGTAGTATAGTAATAGTAATTATCTATTTGACCAACTATTGAACACACCACTTAAGATATATACACAATTTAAAGAAATAATAAATAGGTAAATTTCTGTCTGAAAAGTATGACATCTCGTTTCCAAACACTGTAATTTTCCTAAGGATTGATTCAGGCTAGTTTTTAAGTTAAGATGGATAACATTCGCAGCTATACAAACAAATTGTGATTGAATTCTAATCTGATTGTTTGAACAAACTTGTTGCTAGAAAGACAGAAAAAAGCAACGAACCTAATTCATTTTAAAAATGCTTCTCGAATTTCAACCTTTTCTTACGAAACTGGTTGTTTTATTTCTTAGAATTAAATAATTAAACAGATAGAGTTGGCAAAATTGTAGACAATTAAAAATATTTACATATATTATATGTACCTACATGTAATTTAACCTCTGCTAGTAAGTAATGCATGTCAAAAAATGAACAATGCAAACTTAATGTTACAATTTACGCTCGATTTGTACACATAGAGCTAATTGTGTCGCAGGACTGTGACTATATTATTAACAAAAAATTATCAATTACTATAGTGCACGTGTGTGACAGAGACTGACAGATTTAAAAATATATATAGCTAAGCTAATAGTTGCTGAGTTATAAGTTAAAGCATAAACACTGTAACACATTATATTAATAACTTACAGATCATTTTACAAAGAATCACCATAATTATTCAGCATAAACTGTACATAATATATGTAAATTATTATTTATTATATCTCCATAATACATATGATATTAGTCTGTTTTTATGAGTATGACTTTGAAAATGGATAAAGCCACCTTACGGGCAATTCGCGTCGGTGTCCGTGTCGCGGCGGAGCACTGACTCACCGCCGCTAACGTAGCCATGCCTATATATTTCGAGAGATTGCATTTATCTAATATCTATATAATAAAAATGAAATGCTCGTTGATAAGCTTGGTAATAACTTGAGAACCGAATTGATTTTTTTTAATATATTCGTAATTAAGGTTCTTATGGCAAAAAAGAGAAATTAGATATTTCTTTGAAAACTAAAAGTACTTTTTCTTATACAATTTTTGTATATCATTTAATTTATTGAAATTAGGGTGTGTCGAGTCAGCTAAAATTTAAATAAATATCTATTATCAAAGTAACAGATTATAATAAATGTTTATATACTATTTCTATTTTCTTCATATACCTACTCTTATAAATAAATAAATATCTTTAGTTTTTTGAATGAATGAAATGTATTCAGGCCAGTCAGGCAGGATCAGGCCATAGTCCACCACACTGGCCAAGTGGGCGTTGGCAGACTTCAAATGTCTTTCGAAAGGGTTCTCTCAGCCATGCAGGTTACCTCACGATGTTTTCCTTTACCGTAAGGCAAGTGGTAATCATGTTAGAAATGATTTGCACATGAAAATATCACAGGTGCGAGACCCCGGGTTTGAACCCGCTCCACTCGGTTTCCCAAGCGAGCATGTTACTACTGGGCTACCACTGCCTATATGAATGAAATATTATTACTTAATTAATGCCTTAATTCATTCAATTATCCTATTAATAATAATTATTTACATAATAGATTATTTATTGAAAATAAATTATATAAAGTAACAATATGGTGAGCCTACTCACCGCTCTCTCGTTGTGCGCCGTCAGTCGTTCTCTGCACTCGAGACTCGTTCACTTTACTCGTATTGGTTTCACTGCAACAACGGAATTCTTAGTTAATGGCTATAATAACTTAAGCGTAAAACGTTTATTCGATTTGTTTTATAACTGTATTTCTAATTTATATGATTGTGTCTTATTTATTTCCTCAATAATCGATTAACTATAGTTTTGTTAAACTAGTAGGTAATTTTCCCTTACTTCGTCTTTTCAACCGTGATTGTGAACTTGTTATCTATACATGACAGTATACTTTATAACTATATTTTTTAATTTAATACGCGTAACTATTTTACACATCCGTTATGGGTCCCCATCAAAACAAAAAATCACATCAATCCCTCGTGGTGC